GCCGTGCTTCCTACGAACGCGTTCGACTGCTGTTCACCGGGGTTCACCCCGTTAATTTTTTATCGTTAATTAAGCTATTTCCAACATTGCAACTTCGTAACAGGAATTAATGCAGCGCCACGCCCACTCGTATCTCTAATTACTTTTCTATGATATAAGCCACTGTGTATAAAATGGATTCGCAATAATATTTCACATGACGCTACACTTTTCAACGAGAGAATTAAGTATAAATAATGCCGCGCTCTTAATAAGTCAACTTCCCACATCGTACGTCTCACAGCAATTTCTTTCCTATCACCATCGATTCTTGGTTTCATATAAATCAAGTAGAAAAACCTTGATACAGAAATGAATAAACTCAGTAACAGACTCAGTATGATTCACTGCACTTCTGTTAATAAATGAAGCAGTGAGTCAATAAATAAGGTAGCAATAATTTATTTACCCATCGATATTGATTCTGAGATGTAGAACCGATTGAAAGATAAGACGAGATGAACAAGCCTCGTAACGAGAGAATGCGTTTCATCTACCGCGCGTTCTAATGAATTAATAGACGAAAATGGTTCGATGGAAATTGTTTTGAGAACTCAATAAGTCCTGTGGAAAAGTGAATCGAATTGATAAGTTCGAGTTGAGAAAAGAGAGTTCTGTATTGGAGACTGTTAAACTTTATTCGAATAGAGCATTTTCACGAGATGTTATCGTTTTGACAAAAGATTTGTTAGTGAGTACGGTGAGGACTGACAATGACAATAAAAAAGGCGTTCGAGTGCTCCGGCGTCTGCATAATGACGACATAAACAAAGTAAACGTTACATGATTATCGTTCCGAATTTGTATAAAAGTATGATAAACAGAGTGGTTGAAATCGAGAAAAATAAACCGATTGCTGTAACAGAAATATTGTGAACGACGATGGTAAGAATAGAAAGACAGGGAGTCACGAAACGGGAGCCTGGCGCCGTTGCGATACAATGCCTCGCCGGGATGACTTGCATCTGTATCGGACCGCGGAGGAATCGTCGATCCTAGCCGCAGGCGTACACACTTTCGTTTGACTTCCTCGTTGCCTATTACACCAGACTTTATCGCGTATGAATTCGCTTCGAGATTTCATCGTTCGTCGGCGTTTATTATTAGATTCGACGCCGGTTTCGGAAGCGGGGAAACGCGAAAGAGAACGGATACTTTCCGCGGTGGCTCGTTTCCCGGGTAAAGATTAAGTAATTCCTGGAAGCGAGGCTCTCGTAACGACGGTCGGGCGTAGGAAAAGATTGAAAGAGGGCGAGAGAAAAGTTGCATCGAGGGGGAAGGGAAATCGGAGAGAGAGACAAAAGGGGGAAAGAATAGAGAAGGGATAGGAAGGCTTCGGTTAATCCTTCTTGTTTGTCTTTACGTTAATTATCTAGAATTAAGAACGCCGCTTGTCGCGGCGAGCCGCATCGTCCGGATTACCGGCTCGATTATTACTTGTTGCGGATTATTAATTACCGAGAATTACCAAGTCTGGCTGGGGTTCGACTTCGGAGGGTGGAAAAGAAACTCGATCGATCTCTTTCGTGAGAGAAAATCGGAAGAGGAGCGTGAACTATCGGTTCGAGAGGAGAAGAAGATCAAAAGCAGGACTGACGCGGACGAACGGCGAACGCGACGAGGTGCCGTAACGTGTGTACACGCGTATCTGTGTCAAAAGCAACCCCCGAACAATAATAGAAGCCCTTAAAAACGTAAAGCCGCCTAGCCGGGCCGGTCGAGCGCGCGTGGGTTATGAAACCGGGAAAGAAAAAAGGGAAAAAACGCGAAGCTGGCCGAGCCAGCTGCCGTATCCGATACAATCGCCGAGGAGCGGATAAGTTCTCCGGCGAAGATAAATGGAAGACCCGATCGTCGTGAGCCACGGGAACTTGGTACTCCAACTACCCGTACGAATAATAATTGCTGGGAAAACGCGTTTCCACTCGTCTCGCGTACGCGCGCGTCTCTTCTCGCTTCCTTTAGATTTGGAAATCGTACTACTTTCCATGCGCACGGTTCACGCGTACTTTTACATAACTCGAACGCGCGTACCCGTTTAAACGCGATTCTGCATAAGCGCACGGCAACAACGAGAGGAGGAGGAGGAGGAGGAGGAGGAGGAGGAGGAACGAGCCGAGGAAATAAATATTAATAACGACGCTCGCTCCCTAGCTCCCTCCCTCTCCCCTCGACCCGCTTCCACCCCTCGCCGTGTTTTTCTTCGATACGATGTACCTATTCTTTCTCGACCTCCCACTCGTGCACCCCGATGCACAAACTCTCTCGTTCCCTCCTCCCTCTCTGCCTCTCTCTATCTCGTTCTCCCTCTCTCTTTTTACATTAGTCTCTCCGAGTGCGCGTCTGTGCATTGTTAGGGCTATTACGGGAGCCAATTAATCTATGCACAATTTTATAATTAAACGGCTAATAGCGCATAGAATTATAGTCCAGGGCCGCGCGCACTCCCACGTATCCTGCTGCTTCGTTCGTGGGTACGCACACGCGCGCAGCGTGAATCGCGTTTAAGGGAACGAAAAGAAATAGCGAAACGAGGGAATCTTGTTGGACGATTCTTATCGGCGATCTTCGTTGCCTCTTGACAAAATCGCGAATACTGCTAAATTGACAACGATAATTGGCTCGTCTCGTTAGATGCGCGTGTACGTGCCGGCAATTATACTTGTCCGAGATGAAAAAACAATGTGGTCATTTAAATCGAGGACAATGCGACGACCATTCCGGCGTAGGCGAAATTCTGATACGCAGTGACTCACGCGATTGTTCATAAGTGGATTCTGGACTTTTATGAGGAACGAGACTCTTATGGTATCGATTGAAACGATGCAGAATTTGTACGTTAGATGCATTCCTCTGCACACGTTTTTATGCGACGTTCGAGGATGCGACGGAAATGAAGGTTTCGATCGAGGAAAGGAGCGGAGTCGATTCTTGATCCGAGGGACGCGGGTATCGAACGCGAGGAAGCGCGAGCGTTGGAGCGCAGCCGGCGCCGCGCTATAAACCGCAAGAAAAATCCCCCTGAATTATCGATGCGGTTCCCGGTGCATGCTGTTGCATCGATGGGCGATGGAGGCGAGCCGGCCACGGCCCCGGGGACCGTGTAACCGTGAGCGCGGCGGACCCCGGATCGAACATCGGTGTGTAGCCGTTGCCGCTGTTACCACCGCCGTGCATTATCAGAATGTAACGACGTCAGCGGTACACGCGACCAGCCTGGACCGCACACACGAGAACCATAACGCGGTCTCTTAATCATCCGATTTTTCCTGCTGATCCGCCACCCTCGCGCCACCGAGCTAACCCCCCCGAAACCATCTACCCCATCGCCTGTTTTTCCAATCGATGAGACCGCCGCAACGAGTAGCCGCGTTTTTCATATTCAAACGAGCCACGTTTCACGGGATACGTGCACACACGTACGTGCGATCCCGTCTTATCTCCGCAGCGAGGCGTGAAAAAATGAAGAAAAGTTACGGCGCAAGGTTAACCCTGTTCCACGTTAATTTTTAAATGTTTTATAACCGAATGCATAGCGCTATAATAACGAGATATTTTTTATAGTCATCGTAAATCGCAATTAGGATCGTACTCGGGTGTTATCTGTTTATCAAACCATGGAAAACTGATTATTCCTCAGGCTTTGACGCTAACCAACCCCCGATTTACGATCGGATAAGCCTGTTTTTATTCGTTAGCGAATTAATCGGGCCAACGAGTATGGAAGAGTGTATCTACAATTATGCAGATAACGACCTCGTTGCTTTTGTATCAAAGTAAGGAAAGAGCTCTGTAAACGAGATAACGAAGGAGAGCGAAGATACATTTCAATCGTGATTCGAACGGGACGAAAGGTCTCCTCAGACGAACGGCGAGCGAGAAAGGGCTCGAGCGCACGAGCCGACGGCTCGGCCGACTCTGCTTCTGTGACTGCGACTCGGATTATTTGGATCCCTGTCCCAGCAGCTCTCTCTTTCCTCCGGATTTCTCTCTGTCCAACCCTCTACATTTCCCGTCTCCGTTCCCTACGCGCTTATCCCTCGGCCCTCTTTCTCATTCGCCCTCTCTGTGTCGCGCTGAATCCGTTTCCGTTGCGACTGCCGCTGCGCGTTGCCGGCCGCGATATTATTGTCCCCGAATTCCAACGATTCTCGCTCGAATTCGATCTGGTTTGAGGTCTACTCACGATGGACAACGACTGTGAAGCGGCAACGACTCGCGAGACGAAGGAGGGAAACGGTATCGCGTGGAGAACGAGAACAGCGAAAGAGGGTGGAACGCGTAGGAAGAGCCTGAAGCCGAGGACAATAGTTTCCCCGATAACACCGGATCCCCTCGTTCCGTTTACCATTCCGTTTCGTCTGCCGTCTGACTCGTGGGTGGGGTAAGCTTGTACTACAGCCACTTCTCTCTGTCTCGTCGGTGGGGACGATTCATTCAGAGAAACTGCCGTGAAAGGGACACCTGTTGGCACGGAGGCCCGTTGACAATTCCAGATGCAAGGACACGTGCCACGAGGCTCCTTCCCGTGGAAAGGGATCGCACGATCGAGGGAATCGTTCAAGACGGATCAACGACGGGGCGTAAAGTAGAAAACGTGTGTGAGCGTTTGACGAACGAGAAACGTGCGAAACGAAAATTAGAAGAAGGCCGGGAAGCCTCGTCGTTTGGTGCGGAGCACGATTAAAATATTTTTTGCCGGTGCAGTGGTGGTACGGAACGTAGCTGGCCGAAGATAAAGTGCTGCCCAGAGGCGACACCGGGCGTTATTAATACACGCGAGGATCGTAGCTTCCGTTCTCGGCGAACGGTAGCTGCAGAAAACGGACGCGTAAGATCCTTATCGTGGCGATACGTCGAGATATCACGGGTTACTCGCGGTCCATCTTAATAAATCGAAGGAAAGTACCGTACGAAAGATGCATGCTCCTTAATCCTATGATAAACAGTTATCACAGTACCTGGCCGTGGTGCAGTCCCTGTAGAGGATGTCGAAATCCTTGCAGCTGAGCAGCTTGCATCGATTGACTCCCGGCTGGATCGCTCCGAGGCCTCGCAGGATCCTAACTTGTTCCACGTTGCACACCAACGGCACTATGTCGAGTCTCTTCAGCTTCGTGTATACGGTGTGGAGGCCGCCGACGAGGTGCTTCAAGAACAGTTCGAACGCCTGCGGCAGGCAGAGCATCGTGTCCCCGGCGATGATGAACGCGGCTACCTTTTGCCCGCGGTAGTCGACCAGCTTGCACTCGTTCGCGGTCGGATCGCTGGTGCTGATCGGCGGCGGGCTGTTGTACGATCTCGGCGGCAGTACGGCGTGATGGGCGGCCATCAGCTCGAGCGGCGAGCCGTGATGACCGCTGAGCATGCCGCCGAGCTGGCCCAACAGGCCCAGCCCCGGCGGCGGTAGACCGGGCATTCTGGGTACCATGCCCGGTGGTGCACCGGGTGCTCCTCCGGCGGAAAGGGGCGGCGGGCTCAACGGAAGTCCCTGAGGTGGCGACCCTCTGGTCGGCGATCCCGGCGTGGGAACGCCTCGGTGCTGTTGCTGTTGCGATTGTTGTTCGCGGAGCTGGTCCCGCGGGTGCGGCTGCTGGTGCGACGGCGGCGGTGGCTGGTGCTGGGACCCGTGGAGCTGTTGCTGACCTTGCTGGCCCGACGGGCTGTGAGGGTGTTTCGGGCTGCCGGTTACGGGACTCGCGCGGCTGCTGTGGTCCGAAGCGCTATCCATCGCTCCGTGATCCATCGACGCTCCGAAGGGCACCCGCCTATCCGTTATCGACCACGTTTCTCAGGCTTTTCGTTGTACGCCTCGCAAAAATGCTCCCCTTACACCGCAGACGGTCCTCTCGTCCGTCTTATCCTCGCCTCGATTCCCGCCACGTGGACACCACGAGATACGAGGAGCTCGGAGTGTTTTCGGTCAACGCATACTAGGAGCTCGTGTTGAGTGTCGTTTTTCGTGTGTCGTTTCTCTGTCGATCGGCTCGGTTAGGACCAGCTGACGAGAACGATCACGTAGTTCCGCGTAGTGACGCGAATCGGTACCTCGCGAGCGTCACTGTCACTCGAGTAAACTGGCCCGTTTCACGGAGTAGTACGTCGTACCGAGTACGCCGATGACACCTTCACTGTGCACAATCACTCGAACGACCGTGTCCATGACAATCGAGCATCGCGACGACCTCGGCTTCCGTCGAGACGCGGACAGGTCCTTATCCCGCGTGATGCTCCTCGCGCGAGGAGCAGCCGAGCTGCCCCTCGTACACGAACGTCCACCAACCAAAACGAAATTTCTTCAACTTCGTGACGCGTAACAACTGGATTCTTTCTGTTCTCACTCGTTAACTCGATCACACGGTCGAAGGCGACGTCGCGACGCAGTTTGTCGTCGCGTCGAAGAACGCGCGCGGGCTGTCGTCGTTGAACTCCGGAGGACGCGACGCACACGATATCGCGACGCAACGCGAAACGGAGTCACCGTCGCGATGACAGTAGCCGCGAAAACGTCGAATAACGACAACGAACACAGCTCAGACGACGACGACGACGACGACGACGACGACGACGATAACGGCGGGAGCAGCGGCGACGGCGACGACGGCGACGACGACGACGACGATAGCGGCTGCGGCTGCGGCGGTAACTCGCAGGGACGCGCGTCGCTCGTTCTCAAAGTGGCAAACGCTCTCTCGGTCGAGTCGGGAGTATTTCCCTACCCAGTCACAGATGTAATAAATAAAAACATCAGTGGGTGCCCGAGAAACGGGGAGCATGGGCGTTCTGTGCGCGCAACCGGCTATCCGGTTGGCGGAGAGACCAGGGTGGCAGTTCTCCCCATTGGATACCGACCTCGAACCGTCGACGCCTTTCGAACCTTCCCTCCGCTGGTTGCGGGACGTGCGAGCGTTCCCCACTACGTGGAAACCTCTGCCACCGACGTCGACGAGCACCCAAGCCGCCGACCGGGACGATTCCGGGGGCGACTAACACACAGAGACATCCAGACGCAGACGCGAGGCCCGACAAGACAGTACGATTCGAACCTACCGCCGCCGATCTACGCGCTACGAGTGGGGATTTCTTCTTTTTCCTCGCGACCTCTCTCCCTCCTCCGTTGCCCTTCGCGCTCGCTCCCTCTCTCTCGCTTTCTCCGTCTCTCTCGTCTCCCCTCTGACATAAGCCCCTTGCATCGTTCCTCTCTCCGCCGCTCCTCGCCTCGCCTAAACCTGACATCCCCTAGAGCCGAGCCACCCCATCGTTCCTCGTCGCGTTTCGGCTTTTTCCATCTCCTTTCTTCTCTTCCCCTTTTTAGTTTCTTCCACGTTCAACCCCGCCGACCGCCAGTTTCTTTTTCTTCCCCCGATTCTCTTCCATTCGACTCTCTTCCCTTTGCCAACCCCTTGCACTTTTCTTCTACCATTCCCTCTTCCACGCTTTCAGCTTCTTTACTTTTATTTCTCTTCTCTTCTCCACGGTCCCCGCCGCCCCACCTCTTCGTTCTTCTTCACCTGTGCACACCTTCTCTCTCTCTCTCTCTCTCTCTCTCTCTCTCTCTCTCGCGCCTCTGCACGCGATCTTGCCGTCTCGAACGAACGCGATCTCCTCTCTCTTCTACCTGCCTCTTCGTGGCTCTCGCCCTCCCACCTCTTCTTCGTCGAGGTTCTCCTCCCACCTTATGGCTTACGGCTTATACGATCTCTCGAACTCGCGCTCTCTCGCGTTACCAGCACCGGTAGCCTCCGCCTCGTTTCCTCTTTCGCGCCCGTCCTATTCTCCCCGACCGCTTCTCCCTGTTCCTCTGTCCGTACGACGAAGAATGTCGCCGGCGTTCGAATCGATCGGTCGGTCTCTCCGCGAGCACGGGGGGCCCGCGCACCCGCCATCGGGAGAGAGGAGCCTGTCCTCCCTGCCACTTTCTTCTTCGCCGTTCCCTCTCGCATCTCCTCTGCCATATTCGCCATCAGCATTACACGAGCGCACTTATTTCTTCTGTAGGTAACTCCGCGATCTCTCCCCGGCTCCTTCGCCACCCTCTTCTTCGCCCACCCTTTTCTTCGCCAGTTTCGCCCGGCCCTCCTCGCAGCCACCTTTACGCAGCGAGAAGGAGGAGGAGTATACGCGATGTACACGTATATACCGTGGCACTCTTCGGTAAGCCCCGAGTATGAGTGCTTAATATCTTTGTGCCAACGTACCAAAAGCGTACGTATCCGTCGATGCTTAACTCGACGTTCCAGGCTTACTCGATCCCGCCTGTCGCTGATGTCCATCGCGCTACTCGTTCTATTTACTACGCCCGGTCTGACGCGGACCTTCCCATTTCACTGTCCGTACGTCGAAAGCGAAACGCGCTACCGTCACCTCAGAAGAAAGAGATAGATACGCAATTTTTTACACAGTTCCGTGTGTCGCGCGGTCACAATAAAAGTACGTTCGTCGGATAGTACGCTATCTTCGGGTTTTGAAAAGAAGCAACGCTTTTGTAGCCTCGACAAAAAAAATGTTGGCCACGTTCGATTAACTCGTCAGAGGCGAGAGTTTGGAGACTGCCGGTGAGAAAGGAGCAAGAGGGAGAGAGATCGTTCGGGCTTTTTCTAGCGGTCAACCCCCCGATCAGTCCTCATCAGCCCGGTGACCCAGATCCACGAGGAAAGACCCTCCACCGTTTGTTACGAGCAACGTGTACACGTATAGGTTCGCACACGTATCTATTCCTCCGCCGCAGCTGATCCCTTGACCTCGTGCAACCCCAAACGAAACGAGACCCCCTGGGCCTAACGTTCATTGACCATCCCGCTCGTACGATCGTCTTCCTATTCGAAAAGTTCCTGACCATTCTCTAAATACGCCGTTTAAGAGATCTCTTCTGGCATCCGTTCGACGAATCGTCGAGCAGGAGAGTATTATTAAAAAGAAAAGAGAAATCTTTCTAAAAACAAGACGAGAAATTATAAATCGTGAACGGAAAAATAGCTTTGTAGCAAACGAGGCGATTGTTTGCGGCGAGGAGGCGATCGATCGGGAGATCCAAGTCCCTCCGTCGTCGTCGTCGTCCGAGGAAGGTCGAGGATCGGTAGGGGACCGATGTTTGCCACGAACCAAACCACGTCCAATTAGTGGAATTAATACCGGTTGGCTTTGGGGGAGCTAATGCCTCTGTGTGCATACCTACGGGTATGCACGCCGATGACTGCACTTTCCTTCGTGCGTAATGAAGGACAATCCCGTCGGCCGGTCCGTGCCAGCCCGATGCATTCGCTCGTCCAAGCAAGCCCCGAGCCTGCCTGCCTGCCTGCCTGCCTCTCTCTGCCTTCGCTTGTTTTGCGGTCACGAGAAAATATCTCGAACCCACGAGCTTACGACTTTGAACGCATACCGCCTAACGGTGTCCCGTGTCTTTACTCCCAACGACTTGGTTCGCGACGTTGTTCGTCATCGAGATCGTGCAAAAGGCGTGTACTCCGTCTCTCCATTGATTTATCATATCACGTTGCACGTATCACGCGATAAAACGATCGTTTTGTATCGTCCAAGAGTTCCAATCGGCTCTCGTTCCTTTTTGTTTCGAGAGGGCCGACAGACTATTAACTTGGTTAAGCAATTACGAGCGATTTTAAGATAACTCAGATACGAAAATTGCATGATAGAATCGGAGGTAAACCGATCAACGAGGGATTTTCAGGTAAATCGGTTGAGCGCGGTATACGCATTGTCGGTGCGTTCGTTGCTGTTACTGCTCATTGGCCACCCCGTGCACGGTGGAATTGCGCTTGGCGCATAGCTGTTACGTAACCCCTCGGTCGCTGTTTGCCCGTCGTCGTCGTCGTCGTCGTCGTCGTCACAGGACTGTAACGGAGCGTATACGGCAAAAAGGAGGGTAGGCAACGCGTTACGTGTTACGCGGATAAGAGAGGGGAAAAAAGCGCGAATTTTTGTCGAGTAGCGCGGATAGAGCGAAGGTATTCCGCGCCAGCCAACCGGACGCGCGTCAGAAGGACTTCACTGCACCGGAAGCGACCGTTTCTTTGTCCGCCGTCGTTCCGTTTACCGCGTGTGTCCGCGGCACGGATTTTTGTCCAGGTTTTTTGCTGGCTGCGTTATCCTATCGCCATTAGTCGCGTTAACCGTGTTTATACAAAAGGAAGAGCCGCGGGAGAGAAACAAAGCCCGGAGGGGTTAATAGAGTAGAGCGTTCATCATCGACTGGGTACTCGGCTTCTATGCGATTGCCACCTTGTCTGTCGCCTCGATTCTCTTTGCTGGACGTGTTTCCGGTCCGGTGCCTGCGATCGTCTTTCCGTTCTCCTTGAATTTACCGTCACGTCTCCTCTCTATCCTCTCCGTCTGTAGCCTGCTGCATGTACGTCGGTGGCAAAAGGGAACATCGATCGAATTAACGTAATTACTTGTTCGTGCGAGATACGTGCGCGTCGCGGCAAAACGAGCGTCAAAGTCGATCGGCAGTCACGAAACGAAACTGTGGCTATTTTACAAAACGTTAATTGCTCGCGGTTTACATACAACGCGACACGCCGCGCGCGGAGAGTGGTCGCGACGGGGCGGCGTCGAGAGCCGAGGGGGAAGAGGGGGATAGAAAAATCAAGAGGTAAAATAATGGATTTTGAGGCGGGATGAAAAACGACGGTAATTTTTCTGGACACGTACGCCACCGTTCGGTTTTTCAGCGTGGCTTACGCGCAACTAATTACCCATATGCCACGTGTTATTATAAATAGCCAATCGTTACCGACACAGCCGCATCCGCGATTCGCCCATAATGGCGTGTTATCGGATAAATAAAACGGATAGCCACGGGAGGGTGCGCTCCGATTATGCATCGACGCCTCCCGTGAGCGTATGTACCTATCCTCTCTCTCTCTCTCTCTCTCTCTCTCTGCCTCTCGCCCTCTCGCTCGCGGCCACCCGTACTGTTTTCCCAACGAACGACCAGCTTTTATTTCTCGTCGACTTTAATCCGCACGCTGACGACAACGCCGATCACTTTTATTCGTTACGACACTCCCGATTCACTCGCTTTGAATTGAACCAACAACGAGGATACGCAGGGAAGACTGATCGAGAAAGAAACCGTGGATTCTCTTACGTTCCTCGGTTAATTTGAATAATCTCTGGCTGCTAAGCGAAATCCATACACAGATTTGACAAAACGCCTAATGCCTTTCCAGGGGTAGGACGACGACGACGACGACGACGCCCTGCTCCGCCGCGATATTCGAGCTAAACGCATTAGAAGGCTCATTTAAATACGACACAATGCGGAGCACGAGCCGTATCACTCGACGGTCGAAATAATTCTGTCCAAAAACGTGGTCGAAATCTTTGCCTTTCTTCTCTCGACGGTGTGGACGATCGGCAAATTATTCCATAGGATGACGAACGATATCCCGGCTCGGTTTCGCTCTCGGCAAACGTGAGAGTGGAAAAAGTTGTATTCGCGAGCGTTGCGGATCCGTTCTCTCGTTGCCAATACTTTTCCACGGTGTACGCGACGCAAGACAATCACGTTGACACCACGGTGATGGATGTC